CCAAACGAGGGGGCATGTTTAAAATATAGGATAAACCGGTATTGCCAAATGCGGGGGGCGTGTTTAACATGTATGATGAGAAGGAATCGTGAAAAGAGAGGGCGTGTTTAGAATATGTGGTGAACCGTTCGCCAAATGAGGGCGTGTTTAAGATATATGATGCACCGGAATCACCAAACAAGGGCGCGGCGTGGTTAAGATATGTGGTGAAACGGACTCGGCCTATGAGCGTGCGTGTTGAAGATATGTGGTGAGCCGGAATGAGGGGTGTGTTCAGCATGTATGATGAAGCGGAATCGCCAAATGAGGGGGCGTGTTTAACATGAATGAGGAGCCGGAATCGTCAAACGAGAGGGCGTGTTTAAAACATGTGATGAAGCGTTATCGCCAAATGAGGGGTCGTGCCCAAGAGATATGATGAACCGTTATCGCCAAAATGAGGGGCCGGCGTGTTTAAGATATGTGGCGAACCGGACTCGCCACGTGAGGGCGCGTGTTTTAGCTATATGGTGAGCCGGAATCGCCAAATGAGGAATATGTTCAGCATGTGTGATGAATCGGAATCGCCACATGAGGGTGCCTGTTTAGGATGTGATGAGCCGCCAGTCACCGCACCAATGCGTTTTTGTAAATGGGGCGAAGCCCCTCGCACTTTCTTAAGCCCTGCGAACATGCTTTTGTGAACGTCGTACAGTCACGAACGATATTTGGCCAATGCGATTTCAAGTCAGGCACATAACTCGTGAGAGGCCTTGCAAAGCCCGCCCCAGAGGCCCAACCTCCCGGCGTTTTTTTCTGGACCGTGCAAGCTTGCTTAAAAAAAGCATCGTGCCACAAAACCGAGACGACCAGAGCCTGAACTGTCACGGAAGGCAACCGGGTAGACTGGCGGGGCCGGCGGTCGGACCGTCGGATTTACAGACTGATTGACCAATCGAGGGCCAGGCCGAAAACCAGCAAAATCGCAGACAGCATGCAGCTTCAGTTGTCGCTATCCCTGTGACTTGTGCAAGTTTTGTAAATGGGTCGAACCGAAAACAAAAATACACAGAAAACAACCCAAAACCAACCTGGACCCCTCAACAGCAATCACCATTTTGAACACTTCCGTTCTGCGTCGTGCCATATGATTTGGTGTCTTTGTCTGTTCGATCATATTTCATTTCCTTTGAACGTATCGTTCCCCGTTTAGGCTTGCGAGCAGGTTTCCATGATCAGGAAGCTTCCATGTCTAAACAAGCTTCTCTCCCATGCATGCATCATACCTGGAATTGTTCACGTTGGTGTCCGAGACGGTTTCTAGACGACATGTGAGACGTGTGCTTCTCGCTGAAAATTCAGCACCCGGTTATTTTCCGGCCTCATGCTTGTGTGCATAGCATCGCTGAGATGACCTCCAAGGTGAAGTGAAGGTTCACTACAAACTAAGATCTCTGTGATCGGTCGGTTACAGTCTAGAGTCTCTACATTGTTCCCAGACATCACAGCTCGTGCTTTGCACAGCAACGCTCATGAAGGCTACGCAGATCACTTGCCGCAGTAGATTATTAGCCGCGGTGTATGTACCTGTACGGATATGTCGACAGCCGGATTTGCCTGCAACCAGCTACATATCAGTTTTTAATATTTCAGCGACAGTCCACGGAATGCACTTCAAGACTGACTGTTGACTGGTGATATCATGTGGTATCCATGCAGTGTTACGTGACAGCCACTCTTTGTGACATCTTGCGACCTCCGACGCGAAGTTTTGCCCCTTCGTACGGGCTGCACCATCCAGACTGCTTTGGTTGTCAAGAACATTGCCTGGTGTGTAGATAGGTTTGCAGGATGCGAGAGGTTGCAGAGAAAGGTGCGATCCAGGATGCCTGCATATGCCTGCATTGCCTGACACCCCTCTTGACCCACCCTACGCTGCGGATCTTCAAAGTGCCTTCCACTGCGATAACCAGCCGCCTATGGGTCCTATTGGGCAGTGACCTGTTCGGAACGCACGGTAAGGGTATCACATTGTCGACTGGAATGGAGGTTCAATTATGATGCCATAACATAGCTAATCATTAATCTTCTCGCCAGATCAAGACCGGAGCATTCCAGGGTGCAGGTGCAGCCTCTCCGGATCGAGCATATTTGTATCGTCACCCAGATCCTGGAAATTGCTCCAAGGTTTCTTGCTCTAATCCTGCGGATCCGGTCCTGCCATGGCGACAGGAGCTACCAGAGCGTGGCCCAGGCGAAGTGTAGTGAGGTTGACGCCTGTGTGAACCGCCGCAAGTTGCTTGCAGGCCCTTCAGCAGCAAATCACATCAGGCTAGCCCCGTTCGTTTTGGCATTCAGGGCAGCTGTCGGTGGCTTGCATGTTTGACCGGACGACGTTGCATCCTACTTTATGGTCTGAGTAGATGAAAGCTAAAGCACCCTTGCCCTCTCGCGGCCTTTGTCAGCCTTGGCCTTCAAGCTTTTACGACACACTATCTCCCTGCGGCCGTACAGCGCGTAGTTTTGTATTTTGCGAAATGCAGCAGTTTCGGCTCAGAAGCCATCCTAGTTCCATGTGCCAGGTGAGGTACAATAGCACCTGCCAGTAGGTTGAAGAAGCGGTACATGCATGATTCTGCATGATCGGAATTCCATGTGCCATCTTTCTGGTCACAGTTCGAGTGGATGCAATCTGTTTCGAGCAAGCGCAGCAACACTCCTGCATTCTCGCTTGCGACGATGCTGCTGTCGTTCTGCAATGCCTTGGATGTTCCGCCATCGCTTTCGTGATGATCCGATCTCTCGCATAGACAAGTTCAGAGCTTGGCTTCAAATCTGGCAGCCGGAGCTCATCGTTGCTACAGTGGCATGCGCAGGCAAGATCACATATTTACAATTGCTCCTGCGGCTTGCAAAGCCAAACGGATTGACGCTAGGTGTTGTCGTGCTTCGTGCCGTCTGCCGGCGACGACGTTGTCGCTCTATTTCTGTGACTTCGAAGGTGAGGTATGCTCAACTCCCGCTCGAGCCTTCCGAAAGCCTAAACACTGACGCGCAGGAACGAAGCGCCACGATCCGCATCCATCCTGCCGCGACCTCCCGAGCGGAAGGGCAGCCGGCCCGGGATTTGGGCGTCCTTGCAGCCACTTGGCGGCTGTTGCGCGTGTTACGCTTTTCGGTTGTGCATCCCACTGCTCCTTGCCGCCACTCAGCTGCTGCATTTGGCACGAAGCCGCTTTTTGTTTTTCCTTTTGTGCTTTGCCACTTGCTGCTTTCCTTCGCTTTGGGAATCGGCGTTTGCCAACCCTGCTCGTAGGTTTCGGACTTGCCCCCTATCCTCAGCCGCTTGAGGGTCCATGGCTGACTTGCTTGTTAGGGTTTCGGGCTTGTCGGGGTCTAAGCCTAACGCCTGTCAACCCGACTGGCTTTGGGGCCTGGGACCCCCCCAACTCTGCTTAAGAGTTTGTTGCACTCACTCGCTTTAGCGGGTTGTGGCTGGGGCTTGCCAGTTGTCTTGCCACCCGCATTCGCTACATGCGCCCACTTCCCCCTGGCGGCGTTTAGGGTCTTGGGCTTGCCACCCATGCTCGCATTGAGAATTCGGAATTGCTACGGCTGCTCGCTCCGGGGGCCAGGGTTTTCCAGCCCGCGGCGCTGGCAAAAAAGATGAATCGCGTTGTGATGCTTGCAGCGTCCACCTGCATAGGCAAAGTGCCCTGATCCGAAGCATCTTTGCTCAGCTTGCGCAGGACAAAATCCTGTAGCTTGCCCGACGAACCCTTCAGAGATTACAGAGGGGAAACTAAGCAAGACGAAGCGGAAGAGTCGCGATGGACCTTCCTTCGAGGAAATTGAGAGAAACCTCACCCTCTCTTCTTTCGGTGGCATCCTCCGTTTGAGTGAACCGGAAGGCAACATTTGTTGTTTGATGTGATACTTACATGCGCAGTGCTCGCCGACTGCATAGGCAAAGCGCCCTGATCCGAAGCATCGATGTTCAGCTTAGGCAACAAAATGCCCTGTAGCTCGCGTGCTGTGCTTGCTTTTTTTTTTTTGTTGCGATTCTCAGTTGAAGAATGTTTGTATTGTCACCGTTGCTAGCCGTAGAATGCCCAGCTCTGACCACTCTGCTCAGCTCGCGAATCGTGCTCGTGCCGAAGTCCCGTGCTGTTTTTTGTTCGCGTGTGTGCGTGCGCGTGCATGTGTGTGACAGCATAGGCAAAGGAAAGGTCAAAAGAAGCAGGGGGCAGGAGCACCTGGGTCTCATGCCTGCCAGGGAAGACGCTGACCAATCGTGGTGAAGCATTCAGGGATGCCTGACGGTGTATCTGCAGAGTGTTGTTAAACGACATCAGCTGTGTGTTGGTGATCGTGAACGTTGCAAATCGGATGTGATTTGTTTGTGCAGTGCCGGGCAAGTCACACAAGATCGACATGGAATGAAAGACATTGTAACTTTAATTTGCTAACCCGTGAATAGATTCGGCTATCTCTAGGGTCGATTCTGCACGAGTGGTGCGCATTTTGGTTTCATGGCATGGTTTTGAGGGCATCGGGACTCTCCTGCGATGGTTCTTGGGAAGGGGTTAACTGGGACAGATAGGTGATCCTTCATTGTTTCGTGTTTATGCCGGCCAGAGATTGTCGTCTGAGCATGCTGGAAGCGCTTCGAGCTTCTTCAGACGAACGTCACGTCGATAACCCATGATAACCCTTGAACGAGAATTAGTTGCATGCGAGTTTAACCGATCGCATGCAGAGCCGGTTGCAGCATTGCGAGTTTACGGCAATACCGTTGTAAAGAATGGAAGTTTCGTAGGGTCAGAACGCTCCGGTGGGAACAGACTCCAATGCCGTCGCGTGTTTACTTCTTGGCTTCTTGCCGGCATTTCAGACATTTTTAGTGACGTGTCGTGAATTTCCGATCTCCAGTATCTTTGCATTTTGCCTCTGCCATCCTGTGAATTGGCTGCGCAACCCGCTTTACAACCTCCTCAATTGTTGTTTTTTCCGGCTTGTTATCTGGCTTGCCCCACATCACACGGCGACAATTTCCTTGCTGATGCGACGGCTTCTTTTACATGCCCCACGTTTGCATCGAAAGGTTCGTCAGGGTCAGGATAATCAGAAGCTCCTGCCCCTGCGATCACGCCCCTGCGATCACGTCCTCAGAAAACCAGATTGAGCTTTTGCAAGTCTGTCAGCGAGGCAGCCCGTCTAAATCGAGAACGTGGATATGCTGCAGTGCTGGAGCATGGGCTAGCCACGTGTTCCGTCAGAGGCGAGTGACAAAGATCTTGTCTGGAGGAGCTCTTTGCTGGCTCTGGCATGCGGTCGGCACGTTACCTCTTGGAAGGCGCTCTGCGGATGCTGTCATGGTCTGCTCGTACAGATTTCGCACACCTGTTGGAGGTGGAGCCGACTTCGTCTGGGCAAACGATGCGAATCAGGAGCGAGCGTGGATTGCAAACGTGGTCGAACTATACAGCTACCCGTTGTAGTGCGTACAGTATCTTCTAGTCGTCTTCAGCGGCGAGGTCGACAAATGGAGGCTTAATTAGGGTCCGCGATTGTTCCATGCCAATTGTATTGGTGTGCAACGTAAACGGAAGTTGGACAAAGACATTCATTTGTGCGTGCCCGCTTGATATCGCGTCATTGAGTGCTGGCAATGTTACTATGAATGGCGGAGGTCGGGGTTCGATATGCGAGAAACATCCAGGAGCATGAGTCTCATAATGCCTCCTGCTCCTCCTCGTCCTGGTGACCTCCGCCACCCTCGTCCGTGTCGTCATCATCTTCGCTCTTTGTCCTCTTCCTCATCAGAGTGTTGCAGAAGCTTGAGGGTGGCACAGGTCTCGCATGAGGTTGGGCGACTGGCGCGGCTGCTGCACGATGGGCGATGTGAAAGCCACCGTCGAAGTTTGGATGGAAGTGGTCCGAACCCAGACCCAGACATGCCAGACCAGTGTCACGAGAAGATCTGGGTTGATAGTGCAGGCAGGGCTGGGGTTGACACAAATACGTTGACCAGACTCCCGGAACTCTTGCCCCCACATGCGCATGGATCTCTGGTGGTGAGATCCTGGTGGCTTATATAGGCAGGCAGATGTCAGGGCCCGCACCATTGCTCAACCACTTGCAAGTCTTCAACGTTGTGCGGCACAACCTGTGCAGTCTTTTCCCACTAGCCGATCGTCAGAATTCCGGATGAGTGTGTTTTCAGAAAAAGGCCATACTAGTGAGATTTGCTTGACCACAAGGAGCTGTTCGAGACACTGTTGGCCAACCTGCAACAGGCAGGCTTGGGCCAGAAGTTTCTACTGTTGTCTTCATGTGAAATGCGCCAGGCCGCCTCTGCAGCAGGGCAGATGTCGCAGGATACACGGGCGGAGGCTGTGACAGCCATCGACACGGACTGTGCGAGGACTACCCTTGCTCGGACCTGCTGCCTGAGTGGGCCGCTCCGCACAGCTGGCGGCTCCAGGCTGGGAGGGCTGGGAGGCCGTTTGCAGTGTTTTCGGCGGAAGCAGCGGATCCACTTCAGGAGGGACTGCCCCTCCACGGCAGGGAGGCAGGCCGGCATCCTGGATGGCGGCATCGTCCGTGCCCGGGCAATCAGCTACGCAGTGATACGCAGTGCACGCGTGCCACTGTAGGGTTGAGAGGCAGTTCCAGTTCGCCTTGTCTCAGGAGTGCAGACAAAGACTCTGGCACTTCTGCACAGGGCTGGCGGGTGACCCACTGGGAATCGAAGTCTTTGCTTGGCTCCTGGTTTGCAATTGTGACCGTTTCCATCCGATGACTAGCAGCTTCACGAATCTCAAGAAAGGCCCCGAGAGCGACGCCTGCATCAGGATACTGCCAAGCGGTGAATCGACAGTTTGACTTTGTGGACGTGGATGCTTCTGGCTGTTGGTCTCACATTGGCGCAACACTGGAGCTTGTACGACCAGGCGAAGAGAACTTGGCATCGCCTCGCTAGGACTCTGAGCCGCTCCATTACCTTCAACAGAGCAAGGTATACATGGCACCCTGCTGTGGTCTCTGATGATATGTTCGCGCAGTCTGTTCAGGTGGGCTGCTGTACCTGGCAGCTACTGGACTCACATCAAGCAAACCTTCCCTGGCTTTTCAGAGCTTGGGCGTGCGGCTGGCCAGATGTCCGTCGCATGCTCAGCACTTCCACTGGCCTCGGAGGCAGGCAAACTATTGAGGGAGGGTGGAGGGAGTGACTTTACTCACATGAGGCCTACAGAAACTCTCCACGACCACATGGCAAGAGCCTTGATTTGGCGAGCCTCGGCCAGCTTGGACTCGTGCTCTGGCCATGTGTTCTTATTGCACTTCGGGGCTTCAAATGACTGTTCAACTCCAGGAATGGTGTCCGCTGCAGACAGCCTGGGGCTGATTGCGCAACCACTTTTCAGTCTCTATCGCGGGGCGGGTCTCTTGGCTAAGTCAAGTCGCGATGCGTCTTCTCTGCCCGAGCTTCGCAGCTTCACCTCATCTCAGAGGCTCGATTCGCTTCAGCGGGGCTCCCGTGCCAGGAGACGTCTTCCGGATTCTGCTCCGTGTGGTCCGGAGATCTGGTGAGAGCAGCTTCTTCGTGATATTGCAGTGGCGCTCGGGTAGACTTGGGGCCTTGGGGTGCGTGCGTGGCAGGCCTCTAAAGCATTTTAAAGCTATATGTCCGTACGGGTTTGACCCTGGCTCTCGTGCGGCACTTCGAATCACACAAGCCGTAAGGCACCCTGAAAGCATTCTGCTGTGGAGTCTGCTGCGACTGCAACATGTACGTGGGGCCGTTGGAAGACGAGAGTCTCTTCGGCAGCTTGGCTGGAACTCCTCCGCTTGATGCGACTTGTGGCGCTGGGTCTGTGAGCTGAAGGTGCACGCCACGCCCGATCTAGATGCCGTAACTGCAACTCCAGCGACTTTGTGTCTTGTCCTGAAAGACCATCTGCTAGACTCTGCTAGACCAGGTCATGGAGACTTGTAAGATGATAGCCCTGCCCATGAGACCGAATCTGTGATCAAATGCAGCAAGGTTTGCTGGGGTCCATTGTGGACAGGCAGCTTGAATTCAGATACCTGGCCTCACCATGCACTGTTTCGTGAGTGACGTTGTCAGATTATCACATATCCCTCCATCGCTAGGCCGTTAGGTGGTCTTGCGCGAATTTACATGCTGGGAGTTCCGAAGCAGTCCTCCTGTGGATGCAAGAAGCTTCTGCCGGCTTTTCCGCTCTCTGCGAGACCTCAGTACCTTTCTACGCGTGGCCGAGGACCCGTTTCTTGCCCAGCTCCAGGCGGATGCAGCTGTTCGAGGATGGCTGCAGGACGATGCAGTGCATTTCTTTTTCGTAGCTTCACTTCTGGGGAGTGTGTTTGTGTTTTCCAAGGAGCCTCTCAGCGAAGGCTGCCTGCCGCGCCAGTAGTGTGCTGAGCTGCGCTTGTTCCCGAAAGCGTAGGCGTCGGGTTCTTCGTCGGAGGGTTCGTCGGTTGGTATAGATGCATCTATTTTATACAAACTTAATGCTGTCCTACTTAGGTTCATGTGAATTAAGAGCATCATACTTCTGTCTTAATATAAGATGGATTAAGATAGTAAGTTTAGAAGCCGGGGCCGGTGTTTGCACCCCGGGGGTAACGAAATGAAAACCTCGGTGGCAACGAGGTTTCCATCTCGGGGGTCCCGAAAATGGCTTGCAGTACAAAAACGATGCGTCGTGGGGGTCGGCTGACTGGCATTGTGGCCTTCCACAGCAAAGCATGGGTGCGACCGGGTGCGACCTCGTAAAACCTCCAACATGCTGTTTTCGAGTACATGAGTGTCGTAATTACGCGGAATGCAATCCATGAGTGTGGAGCTGTGGGAATCCAAAATGCTGTTTTCGAGTACAAACCCAGTACGTGGAACGCTCTTCGAGTGGTGGAGTCTCGACAGTTGTCTTCTCAAGTACAAACATAGTACGTGGAATGCTTTCCCAAGCTTCCCCGACGGATTCCGGGCTTCGAAGAAGAGTGCGTGCGACCGTCGTGAAAAACAAGGTCGCACCCGGTCGCACCCACCCTTGCCTTCGAAGGCGACATGGGGTTTATGTCGTTTTTTACGAGGGATCGGGCTCTTTGGGATTTGAATGGTCTTCCCGATTTGGCAACCCTCATTGAGAATCATTGGGTGTTGTCTGAACTCTTCCATAACAAATGATGGGTGCGACGGGTTGCGGCCTCGGAAAAAAACAAGGTCACACCGGGTGTCACCCACCCTTGCCTTCGAAGGCGACATGGATATATATTTTTTTTCGAGGGCTCGTGCACTTTGGCCTTTACGTGCGTTTCCTGACAAAAGATGGGCGAAAAAGCGAGGTCGCACCATGTCGCACGCACCGTTGCCTACCCAGTACATCCCAGTACTCGTAACTTGCCACGTCTCTGTTTTGTACTGTGCGTCGGAATGTGAAGGTACACCTGAAGTTTTTCTTGGTTCGTGCTTGTCTGTATGTCTGCATGATGTATTGTCGATTGCTTCTCTGGTGCTGCGCCTGCGCATCAAACTTCTTGACCGGCGGAGTGCAGCCAAAACAAGCAGCACAGGGCAGCACCAGGTCGCATCCCGGAGCACCATACGCTTCGCTCGGAGCATGGCGCGTGTGAGGGGAGCTCTGAAAACGACGATCAACTCTCCCATACTCTCCCCAAGCCACTACCGGTGAATGACGTCACCGGATCACGTGTCTTCTACAAGTTTCGTTCTCGATGTCCGTCGTCGAAAGTGAAAAATGGGTGCCCGGGTGCCCACCGGCCGCCAAGGTCGAAGAAATGCGTCCCGCTAATGAGCAGGCACACAAAAGCTGCAACTCGGCCAGGGCGCACCTGAGACACCCGAAGAGGAAGGTCCAACTGAGCCCAGTCGACCAATGGCCCACAGGAGGTCCAAGTGCTTTTCACAGGGAAGTCGCGGACGTTGGCACAGCAAGGAGATGCTAGCCATGACTTCCCGTGCCGTTCCAATAGTGGCCGTGTGCTCGCCTATCCTGCCTGATACCCATCTGAGGGAAACTTAGGCGAAGGTACGTACATTGAGCTGCGGAATTCTACTGAGCGGCCTCCGAGTGGTCTCTGCTACAACCACACATTATGTTGCTGGCTAAGATATGTGTATGGGACGCAGCGCTGGATGAGCAGCCTATGTCTGGCAGAAGATTGTCATTCAGATTTTCGGGGGCGGTCGGCCAAAGTGGGTTTTGGACCAGAACCCCGATGCTCGTGGCATGTGTAATCCGTTCGGGTTGTCAGATGCAACAGACAGACAAATCAGAAACATGTGTGTGTGTGTGTGTGTGCATCCTGCGGGCATTGCATCCTCATGCCAGGTGGTCGTATGTCGCCACTGGCAGAGCTGCTTCCAAGGCAATAGTAGTCGCGAACTGAGACTGCTGAGCTTCATTGTGCCTGGTGCGGCCAGAGAGGCTTCGGGCAGAGGCATCCGCCGAAGCAGCTGCGGAGGCTGCTGGCAAGGGTGGTTATCACAGAAGCTTCGGGAGAGCTCTGCAGGCAAGCGGGGCGATGCTCCGACCTTGGACCCTACGACTGCCCGCAGTGGCCCAGCGGGGAGGCAAACCGACATGGACTGAAGAGCCGTAGCTGCTGTAGCTGCTAGCTCAGCGTCTCTCTCTGCCAGGCTGCGCACCACCCCAGCTTGGACAGCTGTTGGAGGCAGGCTGCAATTTTGTGGATTAGATGCTGAAGCTGTCCTCCCGACTGACTCACAGGAGCTGAGTGCAGCGGGGCACACAGCTTGCCGTTCTTCCCTTGGTCCAGCAGCTCGGCTTGCAATTGCGGCAGGAAGTTGGCAAACATTGGCACAGATCGTGGAAGTTTCTGAAAGCAGTGGCATCGGCCAGCTAAGGAACACTTCAGAACATCTGCAGACGTGGCAGAAGTGGTGACTATCGCCCAAAATCTGAGCCTCAACCGAAGGCCAAAGAGAACTCAGAAACTAGTAGTACCTAGGGCGGGCGAAAAAAACCAGCTGCAGCGTTCTTTGCTTGTTTGCTTGGCATTGCCCGCAGAGTTAAGCAGCGAGCCGCACAGCATGATCAGTGGCGTCCTGGAAGCAACCTGCAGATTGTTTGAAAAGTTTCGCTGAGTACTTAATCATTTGCACGAACCTGCTGCAAGGTGTGCAGGGGCTGCAATGCAAGCGTCTTTAGAGGCACGGCTGTGGCTCCTGCAGCTGTGTGCAGCCTTAATGCACGGTCCTGCACCAAGTAGCATGTACTTCCACTGCGTTCGCGGCCGTTTTGCTTTGCGGTCAATCAAGTTAACATTGGTTAGCAGTTTTAAAACGGGACACCTGCAGAAGTATGGCGCGAAGCCGTCAGTGCCTTGTTCTCAGCTGCGTGTCGGCGTAATATCAGCACTTTGCTGTGTCAGGGGACGGAGGTGTATCATGACATGCTCAAGCCGTCTGTCTGCTGGCAATTGCACTACAGTGCAGAGACATGCCCCTTAGCATGCACGTGCTTGCGTGTGTGTTGTGTGTGTGTGTGAACTGTCCCAGATCATGGGACAAGGGAGGTCACTCTCCAGCGTCATGTCGTTTCCGTTCGCAAGCAACGCTTCTTCATGAGCAGCAGGGCAGCGCATGGCTGACAGTCATTACTCAACGAAGACACTGTCAGCGCAACCTGCCGTGTTGATTTCAACGTAATAATATCTAGCATCCTCGCTGTACATCGATTGTCATTTTTGTTGAAGCAGCCTCACGTCAGTGCTTGCACATGCTACGTGTCAGGTATCTGGCGTTCGCTGAGGGTTTTCACATGACTTCATGTACGGTTGCAGCAATCTGAGCCGCCTTCACACGTCCAGTCTGGCACCTTCCAAAACAAGCCAGCAGCATGTGAGGAACTAAAACCAACCATGAGCGCGGACATCCTTCCAGAAAGTGTTTGCATTTGTGTGCGTGCGTGCACGCGTGCATGCGTGCGTGCGTGAGAGGGTGCGTGTGTGCGCACTTTTCAAGGCCTTTGCTTTCTCCTGGTGCTTCAGCGCCTTACAGAGTCTCGGGCGACGTCTAAGATTACAAATTTCGTGAGGGTGTCCTTTCGCTTCCATTGAAAGGATTCATTGTCGGGGCCTTGACAGCAAGAATTTCGGACCTGCAGAGGGTAAAATAGAGGATCCAACCAAAGCGACATTCTTGAGTGCGTGTCTTTCCACGGCAATTTCGCGTGTGCTGGCTCCAAGGAGACAATCTCGATCCCTTCTAACAGCTCAGAACACCTCGAGGAGCACCGAATAGGGGACAAGCTACATGCGTTGTTCGTGGTGATGTTGTTGTCGAGCCTTTCTTCATGTCCAAATTCGTTGTGTTTGGGGTCTTGGGGCTTGGAGAATCCGAAGTCCAAAGATTTGTGAGGTCACAGCACGGGTCACAGCTCTCTCGGCAGGCAGTGCTTCCAGCACCCCCTCGTCTTGCCAGCTTGGCAGAGACCGCGAAAGAGATTGAGAAAATCAAGCAGGTGTGTTGTCGGCAGTGCTGCTGTCTTCATTTTCTGAGTGCTGTTGGCGTGCGGCGCCAGAAAATCCATGGTGACTACGTCACTTACATCAACGGGAGGAAGGCGTGTCTTGGAAGCTTGTGATTGAGGTGCTGAGAGGTGTGAGGGGACGGCGCCGACTCTGCATAATTTTATCGCTACGCCGCCCGCCTCGACTTGCTGGAGAGCAGCACCAGTTAAGCTGATTGTGGCAAGTGGAGGGTACGGAGGAGGGGGCGAAACACTGAATGTTACACATCCAGGTGCCTGTCCGTTTCACATATAACTTGCATGTATGCATGCCTGTTGCTCAAGGTTCTAGCAGAATACTGATCTACAGCTGTGCACCTGTAGCAAAAGAGACACCTGTGTTTGCCTGTG